CACATCTTTTTTTGAAATACGTATCACTTAGGTTGAATTAGGTAACGCAATTTTGTGAATTATTTTGTTAGGAAGAAATAAAGCTACTACCATTTGAGATTTTTAGATTTACAACATACATTGCGCGTGTACTTGGCGCCTTTTTTTTTTACCTTTTTTTGAAAAAGGTAATTTTGTACTGATATCATGCATTTTGTAGTGATAAGCAAGTATCGGCAAAAAATTTCCATTTTTTATTTTTTAATTATTCACAAATTTATAATAACAACGAATTAAATTTTTATTAAATTTATATATATATATATATATATATATATATATATATATAAAACCTCTTATTTTTTATAAAAATATATATATATGTGTATTTATATTTGTATTATATAGAGAATCGCTATAACATTAAATGTAATAATAGTTATAATATAGAACTATTGTCTTCTATTTTTGAAATTTATTAATTATGTATTTATTGGTTAAATACGTATTTATTATATTTAATGTTATTCTTGTGAATTCTCTATGTTAGGTAGATATAAATACACATATATATCGTATATATACATATATATAATATTAACATGTTTTTTAAATCATGTTTATCTGCAATAATTAAATTATTTGTATTAAATCAATTATTATTTTTAAAATAAAAAATTTACCTGACAATGTGATTATTCCTTATCCACTAATTATTAATTTTCAAATAAGTAATAATTTATGTATTGAAAACACATGAAGAATATAAAACGATGCAAAACTGGAAACTACTGGAACAGATTCGGGTCTGGACTAGTTATTTATTGGATCGGATTTCTTGACTGCTTGAACAGATCGACTGAGAAAAAGTTTATTATAATAGACCATTTTCCCGAAAATATTACATACATGGATCCAACTTGTATCAAATCTATGAATAATACGTGATTATAATCGATATAATTGTATATATTTATTTTTGTACAGTTATCTTCAAGAAATGACAAAAGATGATACATCTAATATTTGTAAATAGATTTCTGTTAGAGGATCTGATCATGGATTAATATTTTAATACTGTTTCTGTATCGGAATGAATTAAAGTATGGTTTTGTATTTTCATATTGTAATTATTATATTCAAATCATTAAACTATTCATGTATTTTTATTTTCCCTCCAAATGTTTGCGAAAACTTAACTATTTAGTAGAGCTATATAATCGAGTAAATGAATTAAATATTATCACATAACTGAATGAATTAAAATCACAGTCCTTAAAAATACAACGTAGCTACAATATATATATATATATATATATATATATATA